AAAGCAGAACATGTTCTTAAGCCCCAGGAATCTGCAAGAGTGCTGTCTCTTTAAATATCCAAAACAGTCAATCCACTTTTTATACCTTCAAAATGGCGGCGTCCTCCGGACAGGCAAAAGTCCACAACTCAGCCCACCTTTCTCTTCACTTTCTCCGTTTGTTCCCCAGCCACTGTGCACAGTCCTCCGTGCAGTCCCTGGCTAGCAGGGTGATTTTTAAGTTAATTCTTAGGTCCTACTACCACTCGGGAATCTCCAAGCTGTCTGCCGTCAGGATCGCTCAGGATCACTGCCAGACCGCAGCTCCGTGTGTCTCCTTTTTTGGTATTTTCACGCAAATTCTTCTGCTAGTTGGGGTTTAGTCCACTTGTATATCCTTCCCTTCAAGGATCAAGGGTCCACGATTATCTTCTGTGTCTGTGTTAATTGGTTTCCCTTTTCTTTGTTGAAGAGCGTCTGTGCGGTCTTTCTGCCTAGTCTGCCATCTTGCTGGCCTGCTTGTTCTGTATATTTTTAATAATTTTGTTGTTGTTGAAAATATAAAAAAAGTAGGAGGCCTCACACTCCCTGATCTCCAAACCTACTATACGACTATAGTAGTTAAAACAGCTTGGTACTGGTTCAATGACAGACATAGATCAGTGGACCAGAGCCTATGGCTGGCTGACCTTTGACAAAGGGCCAAAACTCATTAAGTAGGGAAAAGATAGTCTCTTTACTAAATGGTGTTTGAAAAATTGGATGTCCATTTGCATAAAAATGAAACTGGACCTGTATCTGACATCATGTACAAAAAAAAAAAAAAAAAAAACCTCAAGTTGGATTAAAAATCTGAAAGTAAAACCTAAAATCATAAAGACCATGAAAAAATAAATAAAGACAAACTTAGGGACCCTATTTCAGGACACAAATCCATTGCCAAATATAAAAACGTGTAAACACCAGATGACAAAAATAGATGAGTGGGACCTCCTAAAACTTATCAGCATCAAAAGATTTCATCAAAGGACAACCCACAGAATTGGAAAAAATTTGGAAAAAACATATTGGACAAAGGGCTAATTTCTGAAATTTATAGAAAATTTCAACAACTTAACAACAAGAAGACAAATAATCCAATTTAAAAATTGGCAGAGGATATGAAGAGACATTTAACCAAAAAAGACATTCAGTCAGCTTGCAAACACATACAGAATGCTCATGATCATTACCCCTTAGAGAGATGCAAATCAAAACAACGATGAGATATCTCACTTCAGTATTAATGTTATGTGCCGTCGAGTCAGACCTGACTCATAGAGACCCCTCCTTGGGTTTCCAAGGTGATATCACTACGGAAGTAGATTTCCCACCCTTTCTTCTGAGGAGTGGCTGGTGGGTCCAGCACTAATAGCAAAGATTAAAAAAACAGAAAACAAGAAATGCTGGTGAGGGTGTGGTGAGACTGGAACCCTCATACACTGCTGTTGGAACTGTAAAATGATGCAACCACTGTGGAAAATGGTATGGCACCACCTTAAAAAGCTGGAAATAGAAATACCATATGATTAAGCAATCCAACTGCTAGGTATATGCACTAGAGAAATACAAACTGTGACATGACAGGTATATGCACACCCATGTTCATTGCAGTGCTATATTACCAAGTCAGAAAAGGGTTTTATAAAAGAAGAAAATGTTCTCTGAAGGTGACCAATGGTGGGTGGGGAAAGGAGGGTAAACAACTAACTAGAGAGGAGACATATACTAACTTTAGTGAAGGAAAAAAATATATCCAATTGAACAAAGAAGTTGCTCGTGCTATTGATGAATGAGTGAAGCTCTGACATACATCTTTGTTTTTCCCTTTCATCTTACTCAGTACTGTCAATGAAAACACCAACTATCATTCATGTTGGAACAACACTCATTCATTACTACAATCATTAGTTGTTTATACATATAAGAGTTCAGTAACAACCAATGAAGGTATTCTTTGAGGAGCAATTGGTTTTATGAAATTTATAATTGCAAGAATAATACATTGTGTCATTATTATTTGTAAATTATGTGCTGCACATTTCTAATAGCATTATTTATATTATTTATAATATAACAGTATGTAAATATAGAAAATACTGGCTTAAAACTTTATAAATAAAATATTCTTGCATATCACAGATAATTATTTTTTGTTAACTTTTTATTTTTTTAGGTTGTACATGAATTTTTTCAAATTCCTTCTGAAAAGATTGTTCTAATATTAAGCTAGCTTACTTTTCACACCTACATTGACACTCAGTGCTGTTTGTAGCAAATCTTTACAAACTTAACAAGTGTAAATGAGTTAATTTCTATTTCTCACATTGCTAGTGAGTTGAAATGACTTCAGTTTTCATTGGGCTTTTGTATTTATTTCTTAATGTTCTTAATGTTCATACTCCTGGCCACATTTTAAGCACTGGGGAGCCTGAATGTTTATTGATTTGTAGGAATGATTTGATGTTAAAGAGACTGATGCTTTTGTTGTAGTTCCTTGTGCATGTTATTGGACTTTTTGAACTTTAAATATATATTTAAAATATACTAGCGATTTTTTTCTTTTTGAAAAAACTGGTATTTTGTTTAGGCAAATGTATTTCTCAAGTATTTTATAAGAACTACCTTAAATGTATGATTTAAAAGGTCTTTCCCATTCTAATAAATAAGCTGAATATCAGTTCAAAGGTACTTTGAACATGTACTAAATGCCAAGCCCTGTACCATGAGGCACTAGGGATACTACCGTAAACAAGTCAGAAAATATCCTGCACATGGACCTGTATAGACTTGTAGGGAGACAGATATTAAACAGAGCTAGACAAAAGAAGGTAATGTTTAAAATTTATTGTAGTGACTTACTAACAGATAATAAAGGAGATGCTCACAATTACAGTATGGAGCTTTACCTCTGTGCTAACAATTTTCTTTCTCTAGGTCTTATCACAGACTGGAGTGCTCTCAGGAAGAATATCTCTAAACAGCAAAACCATCTTTGTTTCCACCTCTAATTTAGCATGTCCCTCTACATGAAATGTAAGCACTTTGATGAGGCCAGATTCTAGCACATTCTTGTACTTCCTGAGGTACTAATGGAATCAAACTTTGCTCCACATATAAACTGTCAGCCCACTCTTGACTGACCCATAGCGCTATATTGAGTAACTTTTCTAGAATCGTGTACATTTATTTTGCAAATGCCCTTTTTTAGTTTTTTCTGTGTGTATTGAGAATCAGTGATTGGATGTTGGTTTCCTAAATTCTTTCTTAAGTATACTTTCAGGAATTATGGAATGTTTACGGCATGTGACAACCCTCTTCAAATATATTTTTAGGTAATACAGATTTCTTCCTATGTAAATATATGGTGTAGTGCCTAAGGCATTTGACTGCTCACCAGAAGGCTGGCAGTCAAACCCATCAGCTGCTCCCTGGAAGGAAGATTGGGCAATCTACTTCCTTAGAGATACCACCTCGGAAAACCAAGGAGGGCTTGCTATGAGTAGAATCACCTCAACAGCAGTGAGTGCGAGTTAGTTCTACATAATAGACAGAATATCCAAGAAGTTCAAATAATTGAGTTTTAAAATGACCTTTTTAATCAAATTATTTAACACAATTTAAAATTCTATTTAAGGTATTTGAATATTATTAAAATTATTTTTATCATTTTTTTTTTAATTATTTTATGCTTTAATCAGAGAATATCACCTCAAAGCTTTGGTATTGAGGAGAAAATGTTTCATCCTCCCTTGTGCATTCCCAGAGTGCTAATTTTCCTTTCTCCCCTTTTCCCCTTTTCTTGCTCCTTGACCATCCCGAAGTACTCTTGTTCCTTCCCAGTCCTCACTGCCCTCCCTGATCACAAACTTCCAAAGGTTTATTTCTCAGAGACGGACATTTGTTATAGTTGCCTGAGAAAATATAGGGCACCAGGTTAAACTTATATATATGTGTGTGTGTGTGTGTGTGTGTATGTATATGTATATATGTGTGTGCGTGTGTACATATATATGTATACACACATATGTACACATATACACACATGTATGTGTGTGTATATATATATTGCTATTGTTATTTGCCGTCGAGTCGGTCCCGACTCATAGCGACCCCTCCTTGGGTTTCCAAGGCAGTATCACTACCAAAGTAGGATTGCCCAACCTCCTTCCGAGGAGTGGCTGGTGGGTTTGAACCGCCAGCCTTCTGGTTATATATGTATATGTATACACACACACACACACATATATGGGTAGGTAGATATTTTAGTACAAATATTGAGAGCTCTGGTGACATAGTGTCTAAGACATTTGACTGCTATCCAGAAAGCTGGTGGTTAAAACCCACCAGCCACTCCTCAGAAAGAAGGTTGGGCAATCTATTTCTGTAGTGATATCACCTTGGAAACCCAAGGAGGGGTCCCTTCAAGCCAGGTCTGACTCGAAGGCAGTAAGTTTGGTTTTAGTTTTGGATGCCCCAAATAGAAGCTCTGGTGGCACAATGGTTAAAGTCTCTGCTGCTAACCAAAAATCGGTGGTTTGAACACTCCAGCCACTCTTTGGAAGAAAAGACCTGCTCCTGTAAAGATTACAGCCAAGGAAACCCTATCAGGCAATTCCACCCTGTCCTATAGGGTCACGATGTGTTGGAATCGCCCGGACAGCACACAGCAATAATATGCTCCAAATACTGCATTGTTGTTGTTGTTGTTATGTGCATAGCCCATACTTAAAATAAAAGTAGTTGTTATTCATCTAAAATTCAAATTTAACTTGTATTTTTATTTGTTAAATCTAACAACCCTAAAACTAACTTTAAGTCATACCATTAACTTATTCATGATTTTGGGCAGTGGTACAATTTTTAAGAATGGGACAGGAAAATGGTCCTTTGGCCATGATTAATTTGTCATTTAGAATGATTCCCCCTCCCCCCAGTTCATATGAAGAGAATGCCCGCAATGCTGGAGTTTGTTCTCCTACCTGGTCCCCATATCTCGGCACACTGCTCCTGCAGCGTGGGGCACATTCCCATCAAGCAGTAGCCCTTTCCATTTTGACAAGGGAAGCCATTGACTCGGAATCTATCATCAGGGCAGTTACCAGATTTACCATTACACATTTCTGGCAGGTCACACTCATCTTTTGCTGGTCTGCAGACAGCACCAGCTGCTTTAAACTGCAGGAAGAGAAAAATGGAGAGAAGGCAGATTTCCCCCTGATTTACCTTGATTTAACATAAACAATAATGACTGTTTGGCCTTTTTTGGTGAGGCATCCTTCTATTCCAGTTTACATTTGCACTATATAAGTTAAAGCCATCTCCCATTATGTTAACTTTAACGTTATATTAATAATTTACATCTATTTACAAATTGTGCCCATGGGTGGCACAATTTGTTGTCAGCTACTAATGGAAAGGATGGTGATTTGAACACATTCAGCAGCACGATGGAAGAAAGGTGATGATCTGTAAAGATTACAGCTAAGAAAACTCTATGGAGATCAGTTCTCTGTAACACATGGATCACTATGAGTTGCAATTGACTCAGGACAACAAGTTTTTTTTTTTTGTCTGAATTTGCAGTATAATCAGTATAGAATTGCAAACTAGAAAAATATAGAATAACATAAAGCATCATCTTACATCCAAAGAAGGAAGCTATTTCTCCCTTAATGAAATGTTTCTCAGTCAGTATTTACAAGGGTACTTAAATTTGTAACTTCAGAGATTTATTGGTGAAGTGATTCTTTGAATTAAGTAAGATAAGCTTACAAACCCCACATCAGTATGTTCTAAGACTTTCCCAGACATCAAATTACCTAATCCTTAATTCTTTTTACAGTATTTTCAAGTATTTCTTGTCAACCCACATCTTCCTATTGAATGATTTATCATTAGGAAAAAAATTAAATATTAATTTGATGTATTAACTCCACTTACTGTCGAACATGCTCTTATTTCTTCAGATACACCTTAGTAACAGAAATTCTCACATTTATACAAATTTGAGAAAGCCTGAATGGATACTAGAATCACATCTTTACCTAGCTGAAGTGAGCAGTCATGCTCTCATTGCATCAAAAATTCTAGTATCTTCACATAAAAATTTCAGTTGTTGTATATGAGAACCTTCAATTCCAACTCTCTCTGCTCCAGTAAGACTAGCTTTCCTATTAGCTGACACACAAACCTTGCTTATAGTTGTTTGCTTTTCCCTGCCCTGGACCAGTGTTCACTTGGAAATCCTTTCTCATTCTGTCTACTTAATGTCTACTCATATTGTCCAGGCCAGCAAAAACTTCATTTTCCATGAAAATTCTTCAGTGCAAATTCACTCACTCAAAACTCATTGCTGTAGAGTCTGATCTGACTCATAGTGATCCCTGCTTGGGTTTCTTGGGTGGTATCACTATGGAAGTAGATTGCTCAACTGTCCTTCTGAGGAGTGACTAGTTGGTTTGACATGCCAGCCTTCTGGTTAACATTTTCTATGTGTGGTAGAGGAAAGAGCTCTGAGTTTGAATTTAGAAAATATGGCTTTGAATCTTGACTCTTCCACTGAGTAGGCATGTAACCTTAGAAAATTCATTAACTCACCTGAAAATACACTTTCTGATTTATTTACAAAGTTATTCTGAAAATTAATTGACAATGTATGGGGTAAGTATTATACAAATGGAATACATCATTATAGTATTTATATGGGCATCTAATCACACATTATATGTTCATCATTTTCATGTGTGTATCTCTCATAATCTCTAGCAAATAATAGTTAATAAACACTTGTTGAGTACTACATAAGTTCTCAAATTTTATTTTTTTGGTATCCTTTATTTTTTCCTCTTCTTCTTTCATTAAAATATACACCTATAAGTTGTTGTGGTTAGGTGCTGTTGAGTTGGTTTCGACTCATACTGACCCTAAGTACAACAGAGTGACACACTGTCTGGTCCTGAACCATCCTCATCATGTAAGCCATTGTCGCAGCCACTGGGTCAATCCATCTCATTGAGGAACTTCCCCCTTTTCTCTGATCCTCTACTTTACCAAGCATGAAATCCTTCTCCGGGGACTGATCCTTCCTGATAACATGACCAAAGTATGAGAGATGAAGTCGCACAACCCTCACTTTTAAGGAGCATTCTGGCTCTACTTATTCCAAGACATATTTGTTAATTTTTCTGATGGCCCATATACATTCAATATTCTTTGCCAACACTGTAATTCAAATGGGTCAATTCTTCTTTTGACTTCCTTAATCATTGTCCAGCTTTCACATGTATTGAAAACATTATAGCTTGGGTTAGACACACCTTAGTCTTCAAAATGACATCTTTGCTCTTTAACACTTTGAAGAGATATTTTCCAGAAGATTTGCCCAATACAATATGTTATTTGACTTCTTGACTGCTGCTTCTATGGGTGTTGATTGTGGATCCAAGTAAAATGAAATCCTTGACAAGTTTGATCTTTTCTCCATTTATCATATGTTTATTGATCCATTTGTGAGGATTTTAGTTTTCTTTATGCTGAGTTGTAATTCATACTGAAGTCTTTAGTCTATGATCTTCATCAGCAAGTGCTTCAAGTTCTATTCACTTTCAACAAGCAAGATTGTGTCATCTGCTGTTAATGAGTCTTCCTCCAATCCTAATGCTGCATTCTTGTTCTGGTTGAATGACTGCATTTTGGTCTATGTATTGGCTCACAAGAGCACAACTAAATGTTTTTGGAATTCCCATTCTTTGCAATATTATCCATAATTTGTTTTGATCCACACAACTGAATGCCTTTGCATAGTCAATAAAACACAGGTAAACATCTTTCTGGTACTTTCTGCTTTCAGTCAAGATCCATCTGACATCAGCAGTGATATCCTTTGTTCTATGATCCTTCTAAATCCATCCTGAATTTCTGGGAGTTCTCTATTGATGTACTGCTGCAACTGTTTTTGAATTATTTTCAATAAAATTTTACTTTTGTGTGATACTGATATTGTTCAATAATCTCGATATTCTTTCAAACCAGCTTTCGTTAGAAGGAGCACAGACATGGATCTCTACCAGTTGGTAAGCTTTCTTTCAAATTTCTTGGCACAGAGGAGTGAGCCCTTCCTGTGTTGCATCAATTTGCTGAAATATCTCAGTTGGTATTCTGCTAATTCCTAGATCCTTGTTTTTTGCCAATGCCTTCATTACAGCTTGGCCTTCTTCCTTCAGTAATCTTATGCTACCTCCAGAAATGGTTAAATGTTGACCAACTCTTTTTGATACATTGACTCTATGTATTTCTTGTATTTCTTCCATCTTTTTTCAATGCTTCTTGCATCATTCAATATTTTGCCCAGAGAATCCTTTAATAATGCAATTCAAGGCTTGAATTTTTTCTTCAATCTTTTCAGTCTGAGAAATGTCAAATGTGTTCTTCCCTTTTGATTTTCTAACTCCAGGTATTCTCACATTTCATTATAATACTTTATCTTCTTGAGCTGCCCTTTGCAATCTTCTGTTCAGCTCTTTTACGTCATCATTTCTTCCATTCAGATAAGATTCTGTACATTCAAAAGCAAGTTATATACTATCGCAAGAATTTCTCATAAGCTGCTATGCTATCTAAACTTCCATTCTGCAGTTATTGATAATTTACTATATATCAAATTCTGTGATAGCTGGAGATGAATCAGACAGTCTTGTGCTCTCAAGATTTAAGTATACCAAATGATCACAATACAGGAAAATTATTACCAATAAAGGAAAGTGAAATGCTAAAATCTATATTGAGAAGAAAGTAAAAAATCTCCACAGAGAAAATGACACAGCAGCCACATTTTATGTCTTATTTCTAAGAATCTCACCCTAAAGTAACTTCAAATGTTTAAGATAGTAGCACGTCCACACTATTCGAAATAATAAATTTTCTGCCAAAGCACTGTTAAAGGCATGTATAATCAATATTAAGATGTGAACTAAGGTAAGTAGGTACCATCAAAGGGAGCACCAAGAATGTAGAAGTAACTAAAATTGTCTTGGGAGTCAGTCAGATTTGAGATTTGCCATTTGGTGGGCACATAATTCTGCACACTGTCTTCTCTGAGCCACAATTTTGTCAATATCAAAATGAGATAATAATATCTACCTCAAAAGGTTTTAGAGGATTATCTAAATCATGTATGTGAAGGACTCAGTAAGGGTTTGATAAATTGTCTTTGTTAGGTGCCTTTGAGTCAGTTCTCACTATAGCAACTCTATGTACATCAGAGTGGAACACTGTCCCGTTCTATGCCATCCTTATAATTGTTGCTACGTTTCAGCCCATGTTGCCGCCACTGTGCCAATCCATCTTTTGAGGGTCTTCCTCTTTTTTGCTGATCGTCTACTTTACCAAGCATGATGTCCTTCTCCAGGGACTAGTCCCTCCTGATAACTTACCCAAAATACATGAAATGAATTTTCATCAACCTCATTTCTAAGGAGAAATCTGACTGTACCTCTTCCAAGACAGATTTATTTTTTTTTCCAGAAGTCCATGGTACGTTCCACGTTCTTCACCAACACATAATTCAAAGTCATCAATTCTTCTTCAGTCTTCCTTATTCATTGACCAACTTTTGCATGCATATGAGATGATTGGAAATATCATGGCTTGGGTCAGGTGTACCTTAGTCTTCAATGTGACATCTTGGCTTTTTAACATTTTAAAGAGATCTTTTGTGGCAGACTTATCCAGTGACAAATAGTAGTTGGAATTATTTTATAGAAAGAAACATTTTGATTTATCTCTTTCATTTGACATATTCTCTAAGATAATAATACAGGAAAAAATAAAAAGTAATCATAATTATTAAAATACTATGAAGGAATAATCTTACTTGGCATCTTTCACAGCATTCTCCTAATGCACATTGAAAATTTCCTTTGATTTTACATGTTTTAGCATCACAGCAAATGTTGGTGCATTCCTAAGAAATATCAAAAACAAATACAAATGTTGAATTACATTTTTGGTCAGCAAAATTCATAATACAATTTATTCTTCACACAGATCCTACTTTGGTAAACCAAAAAAATAAACTCACTGCCATTGAGTTGTATCTGACTCATAGCGACCCCTCATTGGGTTTCCAAGGCAGCATCACTACAGAAATAGATTGCCCAAGCCTCCTTCCAAGGAGTAGCTGATGGGTTTGAACTGCCAGCCTTCTGGTTAGCAGTCAAGTGCCTTAGGCACTGTGCCACATGTGAAAATCTTTTTCAGCAAAATTGGACCAATAGGTAGCTTATTATTGATCTGAATTCTACTTACATGTGTTTTGTATTGTGGTTGTTTGTTTTTGACATGCATATCTTTTCTAGTTCCCCTAGTTTTTCAGCAATACTAAAAATGACCTATTGTTTTTGGTAAAATTTGAGGGAAAATAAAAGGATTTTCTTTTCAGAAATCCATCTAAATAGTTACAGAATATAAGTAATTCAACTCATTATTTATGTACCTACCCAGCAGCAAATTTAATTTTAGAGCATGTGCTGAAAATATGGTGATAGAGTTCTTATCTACTTTTGACATTTGAATGCTACATAAATCAGAATTGGGTCTCCCTGCTTCTGTTTTCATAAATCATCTACCTACTCAAGTTTCATTGGGAAAACTGCTACCTCAGAAACTTTCCCTTATTCTCATGGAGGGGTGTAACCTTGAAAGTTACAACTTTTTAGGGTTAAAACTCTTGCCTTTACTTCAAATATAAATAGCATCTGGGAAAGATTACTCTTTGTCACAGAGTGAATAAATTTGTAAGGTACATTTTTTCCAAATATTGATGAGCCAGCCCCCCTGAGGGTTTGGCAGATTACTCATGTTAAGTGTTAAAAAATTAGGGTCAAAGGTCTGATTCAGAATCTTGGGAAATATGTGAATAGGGGCTGGTCAGCCAGGCATTTCTACTGATAATAACTTCTGAGCTCAGAAACATTAAGACGTATAGGAGGTCTCTGTGTAAAGTGATAAGGGGATTCTGGAAACAGACATTTCTGAAACTAGATCTTGGCGCCTCTATTTACCAACACAAGACTTTGTTCAATTTATTTGTACTGTCTGACCACTATTGCAGTGCTGTGTTTAAATTAATTCTTCAATATGTGGTAGTCACATCAGAAACTTGAAGCATATTCAGCAAAAAAGGGAGATAACAACACAAAGAACAAGTTGGTAAATGGTACTAAAAAACTGATGTGAAGAAACCCAGAGAAGGAATTTAAGAAAGTTTATTAAGCAATATTTAAGTGTTCAGCTGCTAACCATAAGATTAGTGGTTCAAACCCACCAGCTGCTTCATGGGAGAAAGATCTGGCAGTCAGCTTCCATAAAATTTACAGCCTTGAAAATCCTATGGGGCAGTTCTATGCTATTCTATAGGGTCACTACAAGTTGGAATTGATTTGACAGCAACAGGTTTGGTTTTCATATTGAGCTATGTGAAAATTCTGTGGAGTATGGTTCTACTCTGACACACATGAAGTCATCATAAGTCTGCCTCAACTTGCCAGTAACTGGATAGTTGGTTTGTTGGTTAGTTGGTTGTCTGGTTGGTTATTAAGTAATGCATGATTTGTTGTTAGAAGGGCTGACCACACAAAAATTTACATACAAACATATACAAAATTACATGAAACATGCAATTTTATACTGTCATGGATGCTCTTTTATAGTTTATCTTCTTAGCAATTATCTTCTTGTCTTATATTCTTGAAATAAACTACGCCATTTTATAAAGTTCTTGGTAATACCTCGAGAGTACCACAATCACAGTCCTCTCCCACTTCTACCAACTGGTTCCCACAGATTGGAGTTGAGATGATATCTGTAGGCAGTGGAACATTAGAGAGGCAATTTGATAATTTATCTTCAAAGAACTTGTCATAGCTTACTCGGCTACAAGAACTGAAGTCTGTGGGTATATAGAAGCTGTGAAGATAAGAAAAGAGAAAAAGGAATACAGTCATGTTTACAAAATATGGAGCAATAGCATAGACATTGCATATAATTGCACCCACAACCTGCCAAAAGAACCAAACCCAGTCTGCTGACCAACTGTTTAATCATGAGCTCATTTGTGAACCTGATTTAATCCAATTTGTTAGACACAAACACTTCCTACTTAATAAACAAATATGATCCCATTTCGAAGTGCAGCATTCAGGATGTTGCTTAATGTGTGTGTGTGTGTGTATACATACATACACATGTACATACACAGTACATATACATACACATATATATGTGTATATGTATATATCTACATATGTACATGTGTGCATGTGTGTGTATGTGTGTGTGTATATAGATACATATATATATATGTGAGTGTATATCAAAAAACCAAACTCACTGCTATTGAGTCAACTCCAACTTACAGCGACATCTCCTTGAGTTTCTGAGACACTATCTCTACAGAACTAAATTGCCCAGTCTGCCTTCCAAGGGGTGGCTAGTGGGTTTGAACCACCAGCCTTCTGGTTAGCAGTCAAATGTATTAGGCACTATGACACCAGCGCTCCTATGTGACATATATATATTACATGTATATGATCCAACTTGATGGCAGTGCATTGCATTATATCATATATATCTATATCACACACACACACACACAC